TTATCTTACTTGACCTCAATACGTCTGATAATTCGATTGTTAGATTCTCTTGAAATCGCGTATAGATTATGTTTGCTTTATGAAGACGATAATTGTTATATTAAGTGAGACTTATTTGCTATTATTTTGGTTATTCGAACGGAATATTTCTTACTTTATCGCACCAATATTTGATTTCAATGCTCAATGAAATATGCGGGGAATAACCAAGAAAGAATATAATAGATACGATAAAAGATTCAGGTAATAGATGTCATCCACAGAATCAAATCCCTTAAGTGGCAATGGGCAGGATGCCTGGCCAGAAGGACGGACAACAGATGGACCAGAAAATTACAGCATGGTACCCACGAGGAATTAAGAGACCTAGAAGGAGACCAAACTTCAGATGGGACCATGATATTAGAAAATTAGGTGGTACAACTTGGATGCGGATAGCCAACAATAGATAACAATGGGCCCAACTACAAAGAGAGTATCTAAATATGTGAGGGAGGCTACATCATAATTGGAAATTGTTGAATAAGCTGAAAATGATGATGATGATAATAAAATGACTGTGATCTTCATTCCCAAGTCTATACTAATGCCGTTTTTTTCCCATACTTGATTGTCGTACTTGAACTTCTATTTTGAATAATGTCTAAGCGACAATACCATCAACAAAAGAATCAACAAAGCCAGAAGCATTACAGGGGCACTAAATTTAATTCTTTGCAAAAAAATATAAACATTGCAGAACATACTTACATATGGTGCCGAAGTATGGGATATGAGCAAGTCCATGAAAGGCTTTTGGTAACTGAAATGGGCTTCCTCAGAAGATCGGCAAGAAAATAAAAATTGGAAAAGTGCGAAATGAAGAAATAAGAAGAATAACAAAGGAAGAGATAACCATCGTAGAAGAAATTCAAAAAAAAATAATTAATCTGGTACACTGAAAAAAAGGATCTCTCGGTTGAAATGAATATGACTTTGACCCAAAAGATTGGCGCTTTTCAATAGGGCCAAGAACGACGTTTCTTTGCCCAAAGCATTAACTATCTTTTCTTAAGCTTTAAAAAATTACTTTAGAGAATAGAAGAATCTATCTGTCCAAAGTATTTCACTCTTGACCCAAAATGAATATGCAAAGAAGTTCTTGCTATTGCAAAAATTCTTGATTGAAAAGGGACCATTTCTTGATTAAAGAGACACTTTTCTTAAACCAATAGCGAATACTATTGACTCAGCTAAAATTTATTTTGATATAAGAGAAGTCTATACATCATATACAGGCATATTAGACACGAGGTATATTATTTTCTGATAAATTTAGGTTATTTCTGCTTCTTCACTCCTTGGTATTTTTTGGGGTGGTTCATCACTCTACAAATTACAAAAAAATGTTACATCACGATTAATTAAAGTAAAGCAAATAAATTATTAAAATTATAGCTTTGGTCACATTTTGAATTTTTTAATACGACGACTTGAAATTCTAAAATTTTTGTAATTATTTGCATAAAAAAATCGATACCTATATTCTTATTCTATAGTCACGCATGCATTATCTAAACAGTGGCATTAGGTAAATGTCTCTTACCTTCAAATATAGCAAATAAATGCTCTAATTTCCATTTTTTCAGAAACTCCTTTAAATAATCCATATATCCTAAAATTTGTCCATAAAAAATGACAAATGCATGTTAATAACGATCACTAATTTGCTATACGATATCCGTTTAAAAAGCAAATTATGCAAAATTCCAAGTGAAGTGATTCCAAGCAACAAAACCCGTGCGTACTATGATGTGCGACCTATGAAATGCGACGTACGACTGATTGGACTGCCGACTGATTGTATATACCGTCCTTCGCCATCGTCTTTGCGTGTCGTTATTATTTTTCATCAAAAGAGTATTTAGCTATCGGAAAAAATGGCCATGTTTCTTGAATGAAGTACTTCCTAGCTTATTTTTCTTATTATCTTAAAACAAAGTAACTTGCACTTGGTTGAATGAAAAGAGATTCAAGAGAAATTTTCGAATTTTTCAAGAGAACCAGTTTTCTTGATTTAATAGAGTTTTTCTTCAGGCAAAATATTTTCTTTTACGCTAAAATAAATTCTCTTGCCACTAATTTTTTTTGAAGAACGATGACGACTTTAGTTCAAGTCTATCTTTTTTATCAGGGTATGAACATGTAAACAGAATGGGAGAAGAAAGGCTGCCAAAGAATATTACGAAATGGACCCAACTGGAAAACGAAAACAAGGAAGACCCCGAGAGACATAGTTAAAGGGGGTAGCAAAGGCAATGTCTTGGCGCAATTTACGACAGAAGGCAATGGTGGTAAGAAACCGGAAGGCGGATCACGCTGTTATTAAGAGAGAGAATCAACATCGTTATTATTAAGAATCAACACACCTGGGGCAATAATTGGTGTGCTTAATTAAGTACTTAAATATCATACCAATTACTAGATTATACATATAGTACTCTTTCAAAAAAAAACAGGTTAAGTCTGTTTAATTACTATTTAATTTAGTTACTAATTAATCATTTTTGTTAATACCCTATTCCAAATAATCACCTCATATTAACAGTACATAACTAGGACATATCAAAAACATTAATTGCTACTACTAAACATCAAAACCAGTACTATTAAACATACAATGTCGAGTAAATTTGAGAGGTATTGGCGTAACCAATACATATAATTAAAATTATCAGTTCATTGAATTGTAAATTACGAACACATTGTAATATGCCTAGATATTCCAGTTTATTAAGAAATCTATAAAACTTTACTTATTTCGGGTCAATCGTAACTATACAGGGCATTTGAGAGGACGAAATTAACCTAAGCATTCAACTCTCTTTTAGAACCAAAAGACAGCTAGGACAATCATAATATGTGTCTTTATCATATTGCAGACGTTGTATGGCTTCTGTTACTGGCTTTGAACAAGTTACATATTCACTTAAAAAATGAAATTCATTTTCTTTTAAAGGGGGTAGTTTCAATATTTTTATTGTTTGAATAGTGATATAAGATACAAGATTTAATTATTTAAAAAAATATTTGAAATATAAGATGAAAATACGTATTTTGTATCTTATAACCGTATTTGAAATAATTGTGTCTGAAAGAAGTCACATCTCTGGTTATCATTATTTCAGCATTTTTAAAACAAACTTTAACAACTAAAACCTTTATGGCGCAAGGAAACTTTCTTCGTGATGTCAAGGTGTTACTGTGTCCTTTTTTATGTCAAACTTAGGACTTGTTATAGCAGTTAATAACTGCTATAGTCTGTCAAATGGCAGTAATTCTGACAGTGACAGTTGTGTCTATCATTTTAATTACGGTTGTGAAGTAAGGGCTCTAAAAATGGTCCTACGCGTAACGATATCTGAAATATTTGAACTGTACAGGGTGGGTCAAATTCGACGCTTTTAAATGGAAACACCCGTTTCTATAGGAGATAGACAAAAACTAATATCGGTGTCTGGAGCTAAATTTTCATCAAAAACATGATGGTGAAAACCGCACATCAATATCTTGTACCGTTTCGGAGTTACGGGGTGTTTTTCAAAAATGTGCATTTTTAATAAATCGCTGTAACTTTTTTGCTATGGAAAATTTTGTATTTCTATGAAAACATTTCCAAAGCACCTTTTTACGTAGAATTTAATGGTTTAAGTATAATTTTTTTTTATAAATTAATAATTTAAGAGTTATCAACAGAAAAATTGATTTTTTATTTGGGATACCCTCTATATTTTTAATTAACTGAAAAGAATTTAAAATTACCTTTCCAAAAATATAGCACACTTGATATTTTGTTATAATCCCCTTCGAAATACAGAATTTTTAAAAGTTCGCCACTTTTAACTAGTAGGCTTTGGACCCCTTATTGATGATATGCCCTTAATGGAACTCGAAAACATATTTTTCCAGCAAGATGACGCACCGTCTCTGAACGTCGAAGTTATCAGCAAATTTTTGCAGCCAATTTCAAGAATAATTGAATAGCTAACCAAGATTCCAGCCGTTGGCCGTCGAGGCCGCCTGACTTAGTGCCCATGGATCTAATTCTATGGATATATTTGCGGGAGAATAAAGTTTCCTTATTTTTCCGTATAATCTAAACAAGAATTAGAAATACTTAGCAGTTATGAGAGGGTATTTTTCACCCCCACTGAGTTAATAAATTTCGCGAGAAATGTTCAAAAACTGCCCCGTCTGTCCATAACAGAAGACGGTTGATATGTCGAACACCTGTAGATATTGTTATTAGATATAATTTAAATGTGTTGATGTTGGTTAAATATATTTTAAATTGTTATAAAATTCTGCATCTCTCATAGCAAATATTATTTTCGTTTTAATTGATGCTCACAGCTAGAATTTTTTTGCATTACAGCCGCTGCCGTTCAAAGCCTACTTATTTAAAGCGGGCGAATTTTTATATACTCTATATCTCGAAGAGGAATCGAGCAAAATATCAAGTGTGTTATATTTCTGGAAAGGTAATTTTAAATTATTTTCAATAAATTTAAAATATACAGGGTGTCCCATATAAAAAATCAAATTTTCTGTTGATAATTCTAAAATTATTAATTTTAAAAAAATTATACTTAAACCATTAAATTCTACGTAAGAAGGTGCTTTAGAAACGTTTTTATAAAAATAAAAAAATTTCCATAGCAAAAAAGTTACAGCGATTTGTTAAAAATGCATATTTTTGAAAAACACCCCGTAACTCCGAACGGTAATAGATATCGATATGCGGTTTTCACCATCATGTTTTTGACAAGAATTGAGCTCCAGACACCGATATTAGTTTTGTCTATCTCCTATAGAAAAGGGTGTTTCCATTTAAAAGCGTCGAATTTGACCCACCCTGTACAGTTCTTCGATTCACTCTAAATCTCAAACTGCAGTGGCATTTTTTTTTAATTGTGTTTCTCTATTAATTTTCAATTAACCTTTTTTTCTTTTTGTTTCAGGTTTTGAAACGGACTGATTCTCTGACGAGTATTGTTGATTATTGAGCTCGTTGATCGACCTGCCTTCTTCGTTTCTTCCGTTACTGGGATTATTCCGACGTGCAATTATTTAGCGTTGTTAAACACAATAATATATATAGTTTAGTGATAATATAATAATTATACATTAATAACAAAAATATTTACCGCACATAATAAATATTAGAAATAAATTTAATTAAATTTAAGAAACGATGCCCTATTGAGCATTGAGTGAGATTATCGAGTGAAATAATTTGTAGTGACTTTTTTATCTGAAGCTTTACCAGGTACAATATTTTGGAACGAAGTGTGGAGGAATTAATTTTACAAAATTCGGTAAGTTATTCTTTGAAAAGTATTTTTCCGAGTATTTTCCTATACCGGGTGTTGCATCGTCGGACGGGACATAGGAAATCCCATGTAAATTTTAATGGGGTCAATATTGGCTTCCCTAATTATTTTAGAGAATAATTCTATTTAGGTTTATTGAAGAGGCACTAAAACCCACATTCAAAAGAATAACTTTAGATATTTTTGATTAGCCCGCTCACGAGTTATCGCCGATTTCTTTTTAAATATTTCTCCTTTCTTATGGCCCTGTATTTACTTATGAGCACCAGTCAAGGTAAAAGATAACTGTCAAATGAAGTTGTCATTTCAGAAATTTAGCTATTTAGTACTTTATTATTATTGAAAACTCATTCCTACATCGAAAATCTTAAAGATGTATTTATAAATACAAATTAATATGAATTAAAGTAAAATAAAGTAATCAATTACAAGGTTAATTATAGTATTATTACAATATTCAATAAGTTCTTAATTTAGGTAGATACTATTAAACTGTTAGAACTTTAGGATTTAAGAAGATGATCAAATATTCCTCCATCGACTGGTAGACAATAACCCAGGCGATCATAAAATTCTCTTCTTACATTCGCTAGTTGGTAAACTGAAATTCTATTGCATTCGGCAGAAATAGCATTTTTTAACTCGTCTAGATTTGGGTATTTTTTATCCTTGTATATCCTGTTTTTTAAATGGCACCAGAGAAAGAAATCATTTGGCGAAATATCAGGAGACCTTGCTGGCCAATTTACTGTATATGATGTAGGCCAATAACGTTTCCGTTAAAACTATTAAAACGATTTTCCAGGTGTCGGTCTATTCGGATACAGAGCAACAAACATGTCCGACACCTTTTGATAACTATTTCCTTGATAATACAATTTAATCAATACTTTTTCTTCGGTAGTGTAATTCATGGCTAATATTTTTGATGTAGGTATGAGGTTTTAATAATAATAAAGCACTAAATAGATAAATTTCTGAAATAACAACTTCATTTGACAGTTATCTTTTACCTTGACTGGTGCTCATAAGTAAATACAGGGCCATAAGAAAGGAGAAATATTTAAAAAGAAATCGGCGATAACTCGTGAGCGGGCTAATCAAAAATATCTAAAGTTATTCTTTTGAATGTGGGTTTTAGTGCCTCTTCAATAAAACTAAATAGAATTATTCTCTAAAATAATTAGGGAAGCCAATAATTGACCCCATTAAAATTTACATGGGATTTCCTATGTCCCGCTCGACGATGCAACACCCGTTATAATATAGTTTAGTATAGTTATATAGTATAGTTTTTAGATGTATTATAATTCTACAGCATGACTATTGTTGTGAAAACTCTCAAACAAGTGAAACAGTTCATTAATTGCGCCGTTATTTGGAGCTGCCTTGCTTTGAGTTTGCAGCAAGAACCGAACAGCTCCTGGACCTGCCCGGCTTGGAACTTAAAGTGTATGTAGTGATGATAAAGTGTATGTAGTTATAACAGTTCATAAATGGCGCCGTTAGTTGGAACTGCCTTGCTTTGAGTTTGCAGTAAGAACTGAGCTGCCTGATAAAATAATATAAAATTTAACTGTTTTCAAACATTCCTCACATTTAAAGAGCTTATTAACAAAACCAAAACCTAAGTTATTTAATCATGGGAAAAAAGCAATGGGATATTATTTGTTAAGGAACACAGTATCTTTAGACTGATTTTAATTTTGAAATTTTACAGAACGTTTCGGTCAAGTAGAGTGTAGAATGTTTAGGAGAGGGCTTAACACCGCAACTTTACAGATCTATTTGATCTATGAGTTACAACTCATCATACAGTCTCAGGGCTTTGACAAAAGCCAGTATCTGTGACGGCTTCACAGAGGCTAGTTCTCCATCTCCGATATAAGTCGTACCAAAATTTATGGCACGAATGGTTGTCGTCCCGGAGCACTCAGTGATGAATAGTTCTAGTGTTTCCCTATTTTCCCCACAGAATCTGCATTTGTTGTTGTTTTTAGCTTCAATTTACTGAGGTGTTCATTGAGGAGACAGTGTCCTGTTAACCTCGTCACCTCGTGTCAATTCGAAGATTGTTCTTGAACCAAAGAAAACTTTAATTTTTCTCGGTCGTAAGTTCTGAGGAATTTCTTCCTAGTGTCGCACCGGTACCAACCTAACCAATGAAAACGCGTTTCTATAGTTATAATATGTATAATTTTGTTTTCATTCTTTGATATATTGTTATTGATAGAATTTTTTTTTTAATTAACTTCATATTTTTTACTGTTTTAAAATGTTAAAGCACAAAATTTATTTAATTCAATGATAAGGAAAGAGTGATAATAGTTATCGGAAAATATGATATTTTAACAATACCAAAAAATATGATGTTAATCAAAATTAATAATAATCATCTATCAAAGAATGAAATTGAAGTTATATTATCATAGAATTTTTTTTAATTTTCTCTAAAATAGTATGGACATTTGGAAATGTATAAGAGCGATTAACCATTTTAGAACTAGCAAAAATTTGTATGAAGAATACATTTTTCTCATAATGTCAATAATGAAAAAGTTTTTCTCTTGTAAAGACAATCCGGGGACATACAGTATTTGCATAAAATAAGCAATTTAACAAAATTACTCAAATCTTTCATATTTCTTATTTTGCATTATTATTTTATTGTTTCTTAAAGAACCTGGAATAACGGGTAAATAAAAAAGGAAACAATGGAAAAATAGCGGAAAACCTAACAAATATAATTTACTTTAGGCATTGTTGTTCTTTCCCATTCGCAAGCAACGCAAAATAAAAGAAAATAAAGCTCAACGGTACCGGTCTGTCCATATTATATATTTATACGCTCTTACTTTTTCCCGTAGTATAAATAAACTTCCATAGAATATAAGAAAAACAGCTATAAAGGACTTCAGCGTATAGGAAAAATGGAGTTTTTTTCTTTAGGATTACCTTTATTTTGGCTTTTTATTGCTACCCAGTTCTTTTCATTACTTCGACCTTATTTTTTCTTGCTGAAAAAATATATTATAAGGCTTTTTTCTTTTATTTAGGGGGGCATTATTAAAGCACAATGAACGCCAGTACAATTAAATTATCATTGTGCGTATACCTTACAAAACATTACAAAAAATTACTAAAATATATATACAATAAAACTTATATAGAGGACACAACATATACAAAATTGTATTATACAAACGTTGTCAGGATAAATGATTATGACGAACATTAAACATTAATATCTGGGCCATTTATCCAGTCCATTGCTGCTGGAGAGGCCGAATGTAGCTCCTGGAGGCTTCAATGGAAATTTCTAATTGGGCATTCGTTTAGAATGTGGTCCATAAATCGGTTTAAACGGCTCCAACTCTGGCGAAGGAGGTCCATCCCTGGAAGCGATTCTGAGGCTTTGGTAATAATTATGCTAATTTTTCGCATTTGGGGATTGGTAGCATAAATCTCATTCAATTTGGAGTTGATGTTAAAATGACCACTCAGTTCTATCCAGTTCTATCGGTCTATCCAGATAGAAAACCGAGTATTATACATGGGTAAACTTCGGATGGGTGCTGATTTTAACCCAATTTTTGTGTGGTACTGCACTGAGAGAAAAAACGTTCTAAAATCCAAAAAAAATGCTAATAAATCAAATAAACTCAAACCTGTTTTGGCCTCATTAATGGCCATAATTGAATTAATAAGACATCTGTTGATTTTATGCATATACCCGTACATATAAAACATACATGGTCATTGTCATTGTTAGTGGTATATCAGATTTAGAATAAAAATGCTACCTATTTGATTTAAAGAAATATATATTTGTTTATTAGTATTTTCCTTTTGTTTTCAAATACATTCCTTTTATTTCAAGCCTTTCTCTTTATATTTTGAAGTGCAATGCTTAATGATTTATTAATATGTTTGTTTGTTTAAAGCTTGAGTCGATTTTAATCGAATAGGATCAGTACTAACAATTTAAATGAACTAAATTCAATTCAAAATTCAATTCAAATTTATTAGTAAAATCACGTTATTTCGGAATTAATCTTTTGATGATAAGAAGGTAAATACAATTGTATTGAATGTCTTCCAAAATAAAAGGTAATAGATACAAGGGTATCCCGCTGAATTTTGTCTAGTGACGAATGGTTTTTGTCATGTCCTGAGATTGATCTGCCTTTATTAGATTCCTTCAAAGGTCACAATCTTCGGTCCATCTTAAAACTGGAGTTAACCTGAAACAGACCATTTTTCTATACAGCGTATACAGGATTTGCAGGTTTTCTAAATCGTAAAATTGCAAAAAACAGTATTTTTTAGGTTCCTAATGCCACTATAGATAAGAAAACCGCGCTATGTTGAATTTAAAAAAGTGAGGTTCTTAAATAACTCGAAAGACTCCAAAGCCAATCACTCCTTAAGCGAAAAAATATTATAGTTGCATAATACATTAAATTTTCCACCCTGTACAAATTTCTGTAGTCAACGATAAAGTCCATTATCTCATTTGTTTGGAGGTTTACAAATAAATGTTAACTACAAAAGTTATAGGGAAGGTTAATATACACATTTTGTAACGTTCAACAATATATTTTTTTACCTTTTATATTGGTACTCTAGTAAGTTCCACTTTTTTAACAATTTTTCTAGCGCTTGACTTCGTATTCTTCTACTTCTGAATTCTCATCATCTTTCGAAATATTACTTTGCAAATTTGAATTGTTGAATGGCCTTGGTGCCTCTTGTATTCTGTAACCATAATGTGCAGGTGTGTATGCTAAAAGATATATACTTTATTAAACATCCTTTTTTGACGCTGATGAACCATCAAGATCTACTAAAGTACATTTTGAAATATTATATGTGCAAAAATTGTCCAAAAATAGCCAGATAAGGTGTTATTTATACTACAGAAATCATGACAGTGCAACATTATTCCAAGTGTACCAAATTACTAAAATAAACAATGATCTGTC